ACAAGTGTCCTTCACCATTGTCGTCATCAGATGCTCTTGCGTTTGGTAACACATTGGTTGCTAACAGACACACTTGTGTTTTGGAGTCCAGTGATCCTGAGTGTAACGGTTTGGAGATTGATGATCATTGGTGCAACTACACTGATGGAACAGGCGTTGGAAAGGCCCCAGAGATTTGGTAAATTTCCTCTTTGCTTGTGTTGGCCTACGTAGCACCGCATGTTTGGCAGCAGCCCTGGATTTGACTGCTTTTGGCGGGCTTGGTCCAAAATTCTCTCACTCTTCTTTTTGGTCTCTCTCGCATGTCGTGCTCTCCGTGCCACAGTTAGAACTGCTTCAAACGAGTCGCCTGGGCATTTATCTTTTTCATCCGAAAGAATCCACGGCTCTTCGGCCGCCCGTGAGCTCAAGGAAACTTGCAACAGCCCCTGAGCAATCGGAAACTTCTGTCTGGCCAGTGACAAAATTCTTTGTTGCGCTGCTACGGGTTCAATGCAACATGCAACTGGGTTTTCTTCGAGGATGTGTGTCTCTTATGAATCGCACAAAAAAGCTGAAGCCGACTCAAAATCTACCGCCGCATAATCTGGTTCATACCTACCTGCCTCCCAGCAAAAGTAGTCGGTTACCGTGTGCAAAAAAACATGAAAATACAAGCGTTGACTGACTCGGCGTTGACAAGGATGCTTGAAAATCGGGCATGTGCGAAACGTACAAGAATGAGCCAAGCGCATGCAACAAATCTGCTGGCAGACTACTGCGCCGTGTGCCACTGTCGCTGTCATTGTCTACATCGAACTAAGCCATGGGTGATGCTTTCAATCGACGCGGGAAGCTTGTTGCGGAAGTCTTTGAGGCGAAGCTGTTAAAGCAAATGCTCACTACACATAGAGTAGTTCAAGATTCAAGACGTCATGGAAGGCCACCCCAGACAGATTACAAACACGCAATTTAATGCCTAGGGATGCCTAGGACACACAGCCGAATTTTGTCACTGGGCACTCTGACAGATCCTACTTGCTTGAGGACTGCAGCGACGTGTAAGTCATGGGCTCGTGGCTTGAAAATGCACGGCACTTAACCGACCCTTGCAAGCCGGCTAAATGCCTGAGCTGCGGAAAAAAGGAAATCAACTGCAAGAAGCAGCAGGTTCGGCACCAATGTTATAATAACAATCAGAAGAGATGAAAGTCTTGAATGCCGCATGAGATGAACGTTGCATGGCCAAGGCTCCCAGTGCCCGCGCCTCCTACAGAAATGCCGGGTGCTTTCTTTTGCGCCTTAACCGGCACTTGGCGATGATGATGTGGATCACGAGAATCCCACCTCGTGGTTTTCTTCTCTCTGAGAAGAAAAAGACCCGAACTCTGCGCCTAAGCAAGAAGAGTCTCCGCTTCTGTTCTTTAGCACCCTCAGGTAGGCTAGCTAGCTGACTCGACGCTACATTTACTGGCAGACACTTCTCAACCTGGCACCGTGGACGTCATGGAAGGCTGCTCGAAACGGCTCAACCTTCAGAGTGAGCAGATTGAGCATCCGGTTGCGTTGGCATCATGACGCCAAGTCCCCAAACTCCCCAAGCCCCGGCAATACAAATGAGGACATAAACACACACACACACACACACACAAGTAACAGTAACTAACTAACATGACACTACCACGGCACCATCTGGAGAGGAGCAGCAATGGATAGCGGTATAGACCAACACGCGGCCCTACCGGTACCAACCACGCTACAATGGCCTACCTGCTACACTTAGGACTTTGCCGGGGACAGGGATGCAGCCGCTGCAGCCCCCCGGAAATCCGCCGCAGCTTTTTCTAAAGGTGACACAGACCCAGGATCCCCAGAGCCTGCAGGTGGCTTTGCCACTGCTGCTGTTGCTGGTGCTGCTGCGGCCGGCTCAGCGCCGGTTTTGTCAGCACTGAAGGACTTCAAAGCCTCATGGATCTTCGTCATTCTGTCAATGTTCCTGCCATCTTCTGTGAACAGGTTCAACACCGCTTCGTAGTTCGACGCATCCGGCTTGCACAAGAAACTCTTCCTCATGCCGTAAATGAAAGCTTGATTCGGCGGGCACTTTTCGATCACCGCCACCCCGGTTGGCAAGTAGAGTGCCTCGCCGGTGGTGAGGGTGTGCTTCCACACGCCAATGTTCTTGTCCAGGAAGGGCTGCAGCTCAGTCGCTTTGCCAAGCTCCTTGTGCAGGGCAGTGAGAGCGAGCTTATTGTCCTCGGTAGTGCCGGCAATAAAGCTTTTCAAGTCAACGATGACGCACTCAACGGAGCCCGTAGCTTGGACTCGGACTTGGGCGCAACCGTTGGGCGGAAGCCCCACAAACGACATGTCTGTGGCATACGCATAAAGCCATGTGCTCTGCGTAAACTTGTCACCGTTCTCGATGAGATTTGACATGTCCAAAATAGCATCCGATTTCGGCATGATCTTCGCCATCACTGCATCCACGGTATCTTTCACCTGGCCAGCCGCCAAGTTGTACTGGTGCCGACCTCCCTGTTGTTCTTTCGCTTTCTTGCATTGCAAAGCGAACGTAGTGAAACTCTTCTGCAACTGGCTGTCCCCAAGACACAGCTGCACTTCATCGGTTTTCTTCAAAACCCATGGTTTGCTCCAATCATCACGTTGCAACTTCTGCACATCAGCGATGTTCTTGATCTCAGGCACGGCTGGCACCATGCTGAAGTCTGCCGACAGCACCGCCGGCATCTGGGGCCCCAAGCCACAAGACTTCTTACGGATCTCGGCAGCGGCATTCTTGGCATCGTCCCGCACCTTCTTGAGGGCCTCTTGCTTTTCAGCGTTCTGTCGACGCACCTCTGCACGTTCTGCTTCACGTGCCTTTGTCTTGATGTGGTCGCAAACATCACCAGCCACCTTACGCAAGGAATTGGCCAAAGAAGATGCATTGCTGCAAGCCGCCGTCCACTCCACTTCGAACTTCTCAAAGTCATCCACAGTCTGCAAGCTCAACGCCTTCTGAATGTTCTCCAAGAGCGATGCTTCACTTCCAACAAGGTGTGGCTCCTTCAGCGGTAGTCGATCTTTGCACGCTTTCACGATATCCTCATCGGACTTGGCCGCATGCTCCCCAAACTCCAGAAGACCCTTTTCCAGGAGAGCCGTGTCCACCTTGATGTCACCCCCGGAGCCGGATGCGACGGCTGCATCATAGAGCTTCTTGAGCTCTTCATGCACAGACTGGGGGGTGGGGACTGTGCCATTCCAACGGTACATGAAGTGCAATCGCAGCTCAAGGCTTCGCAGCAAGCCGAAAAATGCTGTGTCGGTCAGGAACAGCTTCAGGTCCACCTTCTTGATGGCCTCGAACACGCTATCGACCTTGGCTACCACAGCACTGAACGACTTCTTCAAGCCTGACAAGTCTTTGTCCATTGCCCTTGAGAACTTTGGAAGTTCTCGATCCAAGTCGATCTTTTGCCGCTTGTGAGGTCGCTGGCCGCCGCTGCCGTCGCCATCCTCCGCAGCCGCAGAAGAAGCCCTTGAGACCTGCAAGAACTCGTTATTGATATCCTGCCGCTGCCGCTTCACATGGGCACGCAGCATCTCGATCTTCTCCTCGTTGGGCTTCTGGATGGGTTTGTTGCCTTGCTCCTGCTGGTGGGTGATAAAGGACGTGCGGTCCGTGAGCTTGGTGATGAAGTTCGGGATGTAGAGCTGTTTTCGACCCTTGTAGCCGTTGTGATCCTTCGCGATTTTGGGGTCCTGCTCCAGCTCATTCCACCACTCCGTGGCCTCCTCATCATCCAAAGCCATGATGTTCTTTGCCCACAACAGAAACTGCCCACGCCACATTGGCTTGGTCTTGTTCCTTTCCGTGTTGCTGATGGTCTTGCCATGGATGGTCCGGAAAGCGGCCCAGTCAATGAACTTCTTCTTCTTGTACATCTGGTCCGGCGGGTTCTCCTCGGCAAACTTGAGCACCTCCTGGGAAGCCACGTACTCGTTCGACATCGTCTGCTTAAAGATCTCCAGCGTGCCAGGGTGCTGCTCCTCCTCGGCTGTCGCTTGATACAGCATGGCGTCATAGGATCTTTTGTGGGCCTTGCACCACTTAGTGTTGCTGGCCCGCGGCTCCGCACAGGCCAGACATGGGCCTGCCCCTGGACGGGATTTGCCGCTCTTGCCATCCTTGTCGTCCTTGTCCTTGCCGGTGTCCTTGCCCTGGTTCTTGCCCTTGCCTCGTTTCTTAGAAGCTGCCGCCTTTGGCTGAGGACCTTCTGCAGCCTCTGGCGCCGCACCACCCAGCAGGTCCAAGTCGTCTTCCAGCTGCAGGATGGAGGATCAAAAAACAATTTA